ACACCTCTGACTACTGCTGAAAATAATGATACTGTAAGTGATAGTTTATTAGAAAATACACAAAATGATGTGTCAACTGTCAGCATAAGTGATGATTCTGTTCACTCTGATGAAGGCTCTATATATATACCTGAGAAAGATATAAGTCCAATACAACCAAGTAATGTAAAAACAAGATCTCAAAAATTAAAATTGTTACAAGAAAATAACTCTTATTTCTGTCAAGGTGAAGAGCCAGAGTTTGCAGATGTACCACAGACATATAGTGAAGCTATATCATCAAAAGATGGAGAAAAGTGGAAACAGTCTATAAAGGAAGAATTGGAAGCACATAAAAAGAATAATACTTGGCAGCTGGTGCTGAAGCCACCAGGTGTAACTACAATTGGCTGTAAGTGGGTCTTCCGTTTAAAAGACGAGCCATCTGGTATGTTATACAAGTCTAGACTCTGTGCTAAGGGCTGTTCACAAAAATATAACATTGACTACACTGACACATTTTCTCCCACTGTAAGGTATGATTCTGTACGAATATTATTATCAGAAGTATGTCAACATGACCTTGAAATGATACAGTTTGATGTTAAAACAGCATTTCTATATGGAGATATATCTGAAGATATTTATATGACTCCACCTGAAGGTATAGATGTGCCATCAAACTATGTTTGTAAACTTAATAGATCTTTATATGGACTAAAACAAACTCCACGCTGTTGGAACCATAAATTTAGCTCAGTTTTAAATAGATTTGGATTTATAAATAGTCACTCTGACCAATGTGTGTATACTGGTTATGTAGAAGGAATTAAAGTTTACTTACTACTATATGTTGATGATGGATTATTAATATCAAAAGAAAGATATATATTAGAAAAAGTTATTAATGATCTTAAAGAAAATTTTGAAATAAAAATAAGTGAACCAAAGAACTTTGTAGGATTACAGATAGAAAGAACAAAAGGATACATTTTTATTCATCAAAGTAGATACATTGAAAAATTATTGATAAAATTTAATATGAATAATGCAAATGGCAATAGCATCCCAGTAGATCCTCATACTATTATGCAGAAAAAGGAGAAGGGTCCTGAAGAAAAGCTACCATATAGAGAAGCAGTTGGATCGCTTATGCATCTAGCTATTGTTAGTCGACCAGATATAATGTTTGGAGTCAGCTTGGTAAGTCGCTATCTTGATTGCTATGATAATACTCACTGGAATACTGTGAAAAAGATATTAAAATATTTAAAAGAAACTAAGGAATATGGAATTCAGTATAAAAAAGAAAAAAAGAGTGTAGTGGAAGGCTACAGTGATTCAGACTATGCCAATGATATAGATACAAGACGATCCACATCTGGATATATATTCATGAAGAATGGTGCTGCAGTTACATGGGCAACTCAACGTCAACAAAGTATTGCTTTGTCTACCACAGAGGCGGAATTCATGGCTGCATGTTCTGCTACAAAAGAAGCAATATGGATAAAGAGATTACTTTTAGATATTAATGAATATAATCAGGATACAATATGTTTGTACATAGACAACCAAAGTGCAATTTCAGTAATTAAAAATAAAGATTTTCATAAACGTTGCAAACATATAGACATAAAATATAAATTTGTAAAAGAAAAGTTTCAAGAAAAAGAAATAGATTTGAAGTATTTATGTACTGATGAACAGTGTGCTGATATTTTTACAAAAGCTCTTTCACGCTTAAGATTTCAATATCTCAGAAATAAAATTGGTGTATGTATCTGCACTGTGAAGTAATGTAGTTAATACCCCAAACATTTTAATTATTTATCTATCAACACATTGTTATCCTTAACTGTTTATAAACTTATAGTTGTTGCTTGTATTTTTTTTCATATAAATGTGTAGCATCAGATGTATTTATTTTTGTTAAATAGAAGGCTCTAATTTGGTGAGTGTGTTGTAATATTTAAATTTGCCGCCTTCTATTTTGTTCTGACGTTTAACATAGATTGATAGTTGTTCAAGACTTTTGACATATTCTTTTTAATCTGTGTCGTTCTCTCTTTAAAATAAAATGTTCTCCTGCTGTTTTCTGATTTTCACTTGTAATAAATTAATAAAATAGTTTAAATAAAACAACAATTACGAAACACAAAGATCAAGAACTGCGCAGTTCATTAAATAGATTACTTATTCTACTAGGGTAGTATGTTTACTTTCGGCTTGAGAATTTTGTAACAAGCCTGCCTGTCTCGATGACTTTGTTTGCCCAAACTGAGAGTCTAGATCCAACTCCAACTGTAGAGACTGAAGTAGTCGATTTGTTCCTCGCATAAAAATAAAATACCTTTATTTTTTATGATCCTTGAGAAGTCGAACAAAATTACGAGTTACCTACGTGATGGAAAGAGGCAACAATTGAGAGGAAGGGATTGTTAGTAAAAAAAAGTGGCAACAATCGTCTATACCTATACAATAATAGTACCATAGATATTATAGAACATCATCGTCATCATCATTTCAGCCATTATTCGTCCACTGCTGGACTTAGGCCTCCCCCATAGACTGCTATAAAGAACGGTCCTGGACCACCTACATCCATTGACTCCCTACAATGCATTTCAGGCCGTCCCTCCATGTAGTGGGGGTCGTCCTACACTGCGTTTACCCGTACTCGGGCGCCACTCAAGAACCTTTATTCCCCATCGGTTGTCTGTTCTTCGAGCTATGTGACCAGCCCATTGCCACTTCAGCTTGCTTACGCTTCGGGCTATGTCGGTTATTTTGGTTCTTTTGCGGATATCCTCGTTTCGGATTCTATCACGCAAAGAGACTTATAGAATATACTTCAAAATATGGAATGAGCTCCCTGCCGAGGTTTTCCCAAGATCCTACAGCATGTTGTTCTTCAAAAGGTTTTTTCAGGGTCGGCAACGCACGCGTAATACCTCTGGTATTGCAGGCGTTCATAGGCTACGGTAACCACTTACCGGGTATAGTACCGGGTACAGTATCAGGTGGGCCGTATGCTTGTTTGCCACCTTAGTGATACAAAAAAAATTTCAAAAAATATCTTATAAAGTCATTGGTCTTAAACCATTATTAAAGTGAGAATCAGCAATACGTTTATCTATATATATATATATATATGGCGTGAATTTACTAAGTACAGAGGAATAACACCTGTGTCCTCAGGAATGGCAACGCATGGGGGGTATCATGGGCGAAACAGTATACTCTGTTATGTCCATGGTACTGCTCATGTCTATAGGCGACGGTTATCACTTTCCATCGGGTGGACCGTCAGCTTGTTTGCCAATCTAATATAATATATATATATATATATATATATATATATATATATATATATATATATATATATATATATATATATATATATATATAATTTATTACTCGTATTGTAAGATTTCTTAAAATTAAGCTTTTGGTATTATGACCTGGTTGCACTGAGTAACTTACCTTTTAGATAATACTCGTATATGATACAAAATCATGCATTGTAATTTCGAAATAATAAATTCTTTATTAAAGCTACCAGGACGTACACTTTTTTATTTTGCAAATTATTTTAATTACAGTTACAGTTGGGTTCTTTCAACATGCAACGCAATACAATGGTTCTTTAAAAAGAATCCAGCCGACTTGTCAACATAAATAAGCAACCCTGTACAGCATTACACAAAACTCCATCGGTTGTTAAAAATGGAATATTTGAAGCAACACAAAGGTGTTACACAAGAGTACACAAAAACGGAAAGACCGGCTGTCCCTTGGCTCACGAGGCGTGACGCCACACCACCGGTGTATGTGTGTGTGTTGATCGTATGTAGATTAATTAATCTACCATCTTCAAATATTTAAAATAAATTTTATTCGTTATATAATAAACAAAATTTCATAAGAGATTATAGACTTTAAATATAAAAAAAAAAATCAGTACTAGTAGTTATTATAAAAATAATACATATTTAGAATAAAAAAGAAACTGATGGCTCTCCAGATGAAATGTGGTATAGTTACCACTATACCACATTACATCTTTAGGCAATGACCGCTGTTTTCTATTATTCTCCCGACTTGTTTGCTATTCCAAGTTGAAAAAATATGCAACATATATTCTGTTGCAATTTTAAGCACCTGTAGACAGTCAACTAGTTTATGTATTTTTTTTTTTCTAATTCGTTTACTTGTTTTTTAAAACAGGCTTTGCACAAACATCGCCGTTTTAGTTTAGCGTCTTTCATGGAATGATTTTTATTGTATATTGTGCTATCAACAGCATTTAGTTCTACAATTTTATTCCATCTAAAATTTTCTTTTAATGTCAGAATACATACATACATATCCGTCACGCCTGTCTCCCATTAGGGTAGGCAGAAACAATGGAACGCCAAATGCTTTGATTCAAACAAACCTCTTTCGCTATTTCCACATTCATCAATCTTTTCATACACGCTCGCCGGTTACGGGTACTTTTAATTTGGCCCTTCTTCAGCACGTCGCCTATTTGGTCAACATATGTCTGTCTAGGGCGGCCCCTACCGACATCTCCATTCATTCTTGCTCGATAAATCTCTTTCGGAATTCTTCTTTCATCCGTCCTCTCCAAATGACCAAACCAACGCAACATTCCTTTTTTGATTTTTGTCACTACATCGTCTTTCAGTCCACACTTCTCTCTAATCACACTGTTTCATACTCTATCTTTTATCTCTATCTTTTAATGTAATAATATAATAGTCACAATAATAGTCTTGTAATCAGTTTTTATAATACTGAGAATTACAATCCAAGAAGACCTAATGGACGATAATTGCCACTAATAGACAGAAAACAATATTGTTAATTTTTAAAGCATTTACATAGTTTTATACGATCGTTTTGCCAAATAGAATTCCCAGTTGTAGTCTTTCTCAGCTTATAAATACTAGTGAATTTTGAATAACATTTCACAATTTATACACAGTACGGGACAGTAAATGAAATAAAAGAAATCATCATTTCATTTTTATTTTTTCCAAAAATGATCCTTACTACAGACATTGATGAGATATCCCAAACAACAAATGTATAATGGAATGTATAAGTACCTACGATTCTGATTGTGTCACGTATAAACTATTAACATTGAATGAATAATGTATAATAAATATGAATGAAACAACAAACAATGCTTGAGGACGTAGCAAACAAAATATACAAGAAAAAAATAATAAAATCTCTTATAAATTTTATGTTCACAATATAAGTGATATTACATTAAGATATTTACAAACATATAACGACAATAATATGTTAAATGGATCAAGTACAATCGTACCCTGTTATTTACAAGTAAAACTAATGTAACACAACGGTCGCTATACAGCAAGTTTTTCTATAAATTTAAGCTACAAGTTGTGCCTTGCTATACAATATATTATTCTCAAATGTATCTACAGTTGCATTTTATTCGTCTATGTTCTACACCATAATAGTATTGCCGATAATACTATCTTTGCCATTATCTATAAGTTCTGAATAACCAGATTCGTCGCTGCATGCGCTGTCGTTATCGCCTGTTCCTTTGAATACCTCTGTTTCGGTGCTCGAAGTCAGGCTATCTACATCCGTTAGATCAATAAGGGGTTCGAAACTGCCCTCAAAGTTGTTGAGAATACTGGAATCAACACCCAAAGGCGGATACGTGGATCTTCGGCGGAAGGTATTCTTTTCACCTATCGGTACGTGATTCACTTCCTCTGGAGAGGATATGTTGGAAATATTGCTGTCTGTATTCACCACGTGAGTGGAATTTGAGCAGCTCTTATCGCTTGCCGTCAATGGTGAACGCTCAAAACGTTGGTCAAAGTTTGCGATGTCGTCTTCATTTTTCGGGTGCTTCTTCTGTATTTCTTCCTGCGGGAAGTTCGAGGGAAGCGATGATGGTTCAGTGTCAGACGTCACCGTGCTGGCAGTCTCGCAGCCTGAAGAAACGGATCCATCGTCGCTGTCCGTGACGAGGAAGTTACTTTGAGATAACAGGTGCACATTTTTACTATCATTGTTTCTTGCGTTTTCGGCCAATTCATTAGTTTCAGCAATAGATTCCAACGTATGCAATCTGGACTCCAATTTCTCATCGTTTTGACTAGTTTCATTATTGCTATGCTCTACGTCTACTCTTTTGCTTTCTTCAGCAAGAAGATCGATCACTTTATCCGAAGCAACGTCTGAACTGCGTTCAGAATCTGTTCGGGTTCTATCCATTACGCCTTCTGGACACGATAATTTGCGCGGAGACTTCATTTCCTGTCGTCGCCTGTCAAGAGTGTGTGAGGTATAGAATTCATCAACTATCATACTGTTACCCATTGTGTTTCTTGTCCAAGTTTCTATATTTTGTTTTGCATTCATCTCAGCTTCTTCTTCATCCTCTTCAGAGCAAAGCTCTTCAATGGCACCGAGTTTTGGGGCAGACTTGGATCTCTCTAGGGGCGGCCTATAGTTTGTCGCACCAACGCTAAGAAGTATTTTTCTGCGTGGCATGCTTGGATTATCGTAAACACTATTGGCGAGACTAAGTCTCGCGTTCTGCTTCGAGATTCTATCCTTTTTAAATTCGACTAATGCTTGCCTTAATTTAATTTGTAGTTCCTCGGTGATCTTCTTTGATATAGATTCTTTGGTGCAGAGAACGGCATGGCATCGGAGTTCATGCTTTAGCTTTTTGCCCTCGTGTCTGTAGACCCAACAAAATAGTTTAGGGTAGTGAGGAGGGCTGGCACAGTACGTGATGCGGTGGGACCAGTACTCGGTGAGACCGTGCTCTTTGGTGAAGCCCTTCAGGCCGGAGTTGGTGACTGAGAGTTTCATCACTACGTCAGGTTTGGTTGACTGTTGGTAGTTTCTCCAGAGTGTCGACAGCGGCTTTTCTATACAGCTCTCACCTGTAAAGAGGAGAAAACAAATCTTATTTTTCTATGATATTTATATTTTTTTATGTTTTTAATTGTAATCAAAGTTATAGGGGCAATAGTAATAGAAGAACTGTGATGAACATATAAAATACAATTGGACCTATTTCTCTGTAGCGTAGACTGTTTAAAAAAATGACAAATCATAAACATTAGAATGTGAAGCTAATTGTCATAAAATATCAAACTTCAGCTTTATTTGGATCTGTTAAAAAAAAACTCGTAGGCGTCTAATCGATACAGATGTAGTCACCACTGGAGAGCAATATCCTTTAATACTTTTATAGGTTCAGCAGTTAATAGTTTATATCATAATGATGATGATGATGATGATGAACCTTAATATATAAAATGTCATGATGTCCGCTTCCGTTAATATCCTAGACCTCACAATCGAATTTTTTAAAATTTTCTGAATGTGTATTTATGATTAAAAAAAAAAAAATATTCGGTAGGTGGTATTAGAGGACTTGTAAGTGAATTTTATATATATATTGCAACTTAAAATGGTAAACAAACTGACGGCCTACCTGATAGGAAGTAGTAATCGTCATAAACAGAACCATGGACATAACAAAGTATCCTATTTTCCCTATGATACCTTTCATCTGTTTCCACTCCTAAGGATTAAAGTGTTATTCCTCTGTACCCTAAGGTGTTATGCCTCTCTACCCTATAAATTCACTGCCATATCCCACCCTTCAAACCGAAACACAGCCATGCAAACACAACTGCTTCACGACAGAAATACGAATGGAATAGAAGTACCTAAGTAAACGATCTTCGTGCAAAGCGTCCCTCTAGTGAAATAAAGTGAAACAAAATCAAGACAAACATTTTAAAAGGAAACGAAACAACTAATGCCAGTTTACTTACGTGGACACAGTATTTGAATACAATACATTGAGTATTGTTAGCATACTGTATTAATTTCGCATTGTACAAGTGTTCAATATTTGAAGGTGTAAACATGTTATAAGTGAATTAATAAAAACTAAATGTCTTGACGTTATCCAAGATGGACAGATGAACGGACAGACCAAACTGTATATATACATGTAGATTATACTGATGGATTTATTATTATAAAATAGTTTGTCCTGACTGATTATGAACATCAACATACAGCAAAAAAAAACTGATAAGTCTAGAGACCTTAAATTTAGAATATGGGTTTATTTTGTAACATGTTTTTACCCGCGACTTCGTCCTCGTGACAAAGATATGTTTACTGACCGGGGATAAAAGATAGCCTATATCCTCCATCTCGTATACTACGTATATACTAAATATCATAGTAATCGGTTAAGCCTTTAAGGCTTTACAAAGTAACAAACAAATAAACACTATCACATTTATAATATTAGTAAGATTGTATACAACTGCAAAAAAAAATAAATTTTCGAAAATTTTTGAAAAGCATGTTAAGTCGCTAGCAACAGCTAACAGTGGTATAATAAAATCGTGTCAAAAGAAATTTATTAGAACGTTTAATAAATAGGATAAGAACTCAAAGAAATCTCTATTAAAACTTATCAGTTGAATAGACTCTACTTGACAATAGATGGCGTTAACTTAAAACTCTAATGACTGTATTTAAAACTATCTATTCTATCCTATTTAAGAGCTGCGCTCTTGTCGATGGAGCTCTTGTCACTCACTATGATTTTGAGCGAGTCTCTTCACCTCTTATTACGACACGACACCAACTTTTTTCTTGAATTGCCTGATACATAGTTAATACTTACTTAGTTGAATACATAGTTACGTAATTGATACTAGATGGCGTTAAATATATTATTAATAAATGCTCTACAAAATTAATGTGACGGACGTCTATTATAATATTTACATGTAAACGAAGTAGCGGACACGTCTATAAATATACATAATAGGTCACGATCAATTAGTTTATAGTCGTGAGAAATTGCATGCAAGTAATAATTATGATAACTTGAATGTATGGTAACATGTTGACGACACAATTAACTGTACTGACAATGTTTCTATTCTATTATTGACAAATGGACTTTACTTCCCAACAATAACAAAGGTTGTCTGGAAGAGATTGCTTAGCAACAAGATTGACTTATGTACTTTTTTTTATACAACTTAGAATGGTAAACAAGCTGACGGCCCACCTGATGTAAAGTGGTAACCGACGCCTATAGACATGAGCAGTATTATGGACATAACAGAGTATACTGTTTCGCCCATGATACCCCTCATGCGTTGCCATTCCTGAGGACTCAGGTGTTATTCCTCTGTACCCAGTAAATTCACGCCATATCCCATCCTTCAAACCGAAACACAGCCATGCAAACACAACTGCTTCACGGTTGAAACACGAATGGGACAGAGGTGCCTAAGCAATCGACTTTTGTACAAAGTCTCCCTCTGGTACTATACACTATGTTCAACAAATCCTGTAATGTTGGTGCAATAAAGTGTTAAATAAATAAGTTTAATAAATAAGCTGTAACTTCAATCATAACAAAATAATTACAGCACTAATAAAGGAGAAAACCTTATCAATTGCAAAAAGAATCGTCGAAATCAATTCAGAATTGTCGACGTAATATAATGTTTTGAAAATCGCTTAGAAATATGGAATTTGCCAATAAATATCACTGTGACAAAGTACTAAAGTGTTAACATTATATTACTATCGTATGGAAAACTATGGGCTACTGTAAAATAGATAATTCTCAACGATCATAGTCAGCTTAGTGACAAATACCCCAATAAAAACGAACTGTGCGCCGCCGGGCGTTAAACACGCAGCTATTTCACCAACGACCATAAAATGTTCCGATGCTGACGATAAAAATGATCATAAATATAATATGTCCGCCATTTATTATATATACCACACGAGCAAACACCCCGCGTAGCCAAAACACCGTGTGGATAGTGGAAAAGTATATTTCTAACAAATAAATAATGGGGGAAAGGGATTGTTAACAATGGAGTTTGACAGCCCCATTGCTAGCGATATACCCAATTAGTTCAACCTCCACGTGGTTCCCCCTGGAAACCTTCGTGAATACATTACGATGGACTAATTGACCTGTTTCATCCTCGTCTATCATACTTCACTGGTGCCACGCCGGTGTATACCGATAGCGCGGGTGGGGTTACTATTTCATTATCACCTATAAAAAAAAAAAAACAAATAAACATCCTCCGAAAAACAGTTACTTCAGTCAAAACAGAATTATTATTGACTTGCAAATTTTAATATTTATTTTAAACAAATATAACACAGAAATGTTTCGTAGCGACATCTGTTTTAAAGTAGTTGAGTTTAGAAAGACGAGAAGTGCGTACGTGTTCACAATAATAACAATTTGAAAAACAAAAGAATAAATCATAAAATGAATATAGAATTAACACGAAATCAATCAGTTTCTTTTGTAAAAAGACTGAATTCCAAAAATAAATTGTATTTTCAAAGGTATTTTTGTTGTATTTCTGTTTATAATCTCATTTATTTTAGAACTACAATGGTCACGCACAGTGCAGTTTCTAAGGAGATTTCTCCTGAGAATGCTTAGGTTTTTCCTAGAGACTACAGCAGAGGGTCCTTCAAAAGGGGCACAATAAGGTGTCGACAATTAGCGCGTGATATTCCTAGAGTACCTCTGTTCCATTCGTGTTTCAACCGTGAAGCAGTTGTGTTTGCATGGCTGTGTTTCGGTTTGAAGGGTGGGATATGGTGTGAATTTACAAGGTACAGAGGAATAACAGCTGAGTCCTCAGGAGTGGCAACGCATGGGGGGTATCATGGGCGAAACAGTATACTCTGTTATGTCCGTGGTACTGCTCATGTCTATAGGCGACGGTTACCACTTTCCATCAGGTGGACCGTCAGCTTGTTTGCCATTCCAAGTTGCATAAAAAAAAAAGACTACGATAGGCGTTTATTATTAAACCAGCCCATACGTCTGTTTGTCACCATAGTGATTAAAAATTATCTTTCTAACTCTGACTGTAAGAAAAGGTACTTCACACATCCGCATATTTTTTACGCATCCTCCAATTGCACGAACAGGTTACGTAAATATAGATCTATATTTAGCCTTTAATAGCTTACAACTGATAACCAACGTCCGTAAGTACTCTGTACTAATCAATTTTACATGTCCAAGCAGTAAAAACTTCCATCACATTTATATATTAATTACTAATTAATCAACTTCATAATAAATAATATAAAAACACAAAGTGATTCTAAATTGCTAGCAATTTGTGGTCAGGTTGGTATTCACACGATCCTGTTTGGTTTGATGTTTGTTTAATTGGTTAATCCACCACGACGAAACTATCGTGGTGAATTAACCAATCGATGGGCCAACAGACTTTATTCTTATCTGTCGTACCCCACTGGTACCATTCGATTACCATCCAATGAACCCTTCAAGTAAAATCCTTACTTATAAATGTGAAAACGAGTTTGTTTGTTTACTTGTTTTTATTATTATTGTTTTAGCTATTAACTGTCTACTGCTGAACATAAGCCGCCCCCTATATTAGTTTGAGACTAACTTTTGGGTCAAGATAGCCGTACCGGTTCGTATCTGACTCAAAGGATATCTCTGGCAATCCAACGTGGAAATGCCTCAAGTGTCATGGGAAACTTTGGGTCGGCTACAGATCATGAATACGACTGATCTTTTTTTTTGCGATTAAAACATTATTACATGTAAATTAATAGTCCATTATAAAGGGATAGGACATTATATGTAGGTGTAGTGAATAATTATTAATATTACGCAAATAATTTCATTTAAATTTTAAGTTTTTTTTTTTTTTTTATGGGTGAAAATGTTATGGTAACCCCGCCTGCGCTAACGGGATACACTGGCGGAGCACCAGTGAAGGGTGATAGGTGAGAATGAAAACAGGCCCGTTAGCCCATCATGATGAATTCAACAGGAATTAACCATGATAGTTTCCAGGTAGAACCGCGA